TCCTCCTGTAGGGTTGAACTCTGCAGAGTTGTATTACAGGTTCCAGCTGCCCTTCCCCTGAAGATAGTCCCGGTCCTAATGGGAGGTGAAGATGACTCCAACTTACCCAGTACAGTGGTCTGGTGGTCCGGTGTCCTCTGTATCTTTGTAGTGTGCAACCAGGTGGCTGTCCAGAGGAGTGGGGGGCGGGGGGGCAATGTCCAGTGGATTGCTGCCAGGGCTGCAGGCTGATTCGGTGCGTTCTGCGTGACTCGACTCGCAATGTTGCTATGGCGTCTGCAGACCTGCCTGTCTGCAGCAGGCTGATTCGGTGCCTTCTGTGTGACTCGCAACGTTGCTACGGCCCATAGTTTTAATTTGGATTTCTCTAAAGGTCAGTGATGTTAAACATTTTTAAAAAATATATTTGTTGCCCATTTGTATTACTTCCTCTGTGGAGTATCTGTTCTTTTCACTTCCCCATTTCTTCACTTGGTCTTTTATTTTAGGTGGTCTACTTTTTTTTAGTTCTTTATTATTCTAGATATTAGAACTCTGTCTGAGGAGTAGTTGGCAATTTTTCCCCATTCTGTGGGCTGTCTGTTCACTCTACTAATTGATTCCCATGGTGTACAGAAGCTTTTCAATTTGATGTAATTCCATTTATTGATTCTTGGTGTTATTTCTTGAGCAATTGCAGTTCTGTTTAGAAAATACTTTCCCACACCTATGGCTTCAAGTGCTTTACCTATTTAATCTTTCTGTAGATTCAATGTTTCTGTTTTAATGTTTAGACCCTTGATCCATTTTGATTTTAATTTAGTACATGGTAGGAGATATGGGTCCAGTTTCAATCTTCTGCAGACAAATAACCAGTTTTCCCAGTACCATTTGTTGAGTAGGTTATCTTTTCTCCAATGTATGATTTTGGCCCCTTTGTCAAAGGCCAAATAGCTGGATGTGTCTGGGGATGTTTATGTATCCTCTATTCTGTTCTGTTGATCCCAGAAGCTGTTTTTGTTCCAATACCATGACACTTGTATCACTGTTACTTTGTAGTATAGCTTGAAGTCTGGTATTATAATGCCTCCTGCTTTGCTCTTATTGACCAAAATTGCTTTTACTATTCAGGCTCTTTTCTGCTTCCTTATGACTTTTAGGATTGTTTTCTCTAGATCCAAAAAGCATGTCCTTGGTATTTTGATTGGGACTGCACTGAAACTGTTTAACAGTTTTGGGAATATGGCCATTTTAACAATATCCTGCCTATCCAGGAGTAGAGGACATTTTTCCATTTTCTAATGTTGTCTTCAATCTCCTTTTTTCAGAGTACTGTATTTTTCTTTATAAAGACCTTTCACTTCCTTGGTTAGGTTAATTCCTAAGTATTCCATTTGTCAAGCTCATTTCATTTGTCAAGCTTCTGTGAATAGTATTTTCTTGTATGGGTTTTTTTTTCAGTACCATGTATCAAACTCATGACCTTGCACTTGCAAGGCAGGTGTGGTGCCACTGAGTTAAATCCCTGGCTGACAAGTATTGTTTTCATAATTTCTTTCTCCTCGAGTTCATTATTGGTGTACACAAGTGCTAATGATTCTTGTGTGCAGGTCTTATATCCTGCTACATGGCTGAAGTTGTTAATTCTATGTTTTTTGGTGGAGTATCATGGTATCTGTAAATAATGATAATTTGAATTCTTATATATATATATCCCTTTCATTTCTTTCTCTTACCTGATTTCTGGCTAGTGTTTCAAGTACTATGTTGAATAGAAGTGGTGATAATTGTCATTCTTGTCTTGTTCCTGATTTTAAGAGGGATTCTTTTAGTTTTTCCCCATTTAATATGATATTGGCTGTTAGTTTGTCTTAAATAGCTCTTATCAAATTCAGGTGTGGTCCTTCTCTGCCTATTTTCTTCAGGTTTTTCTTTTTTTGTCATGAAGGGATGTTGGATGTATGATCTTTTTGATGATGTGCTACATTCTATTCACTAATATCTTGCTGAGGATTTTTGCATCTATTTTCATTAAGGAGATTGGCCTGCAGTTTTCTTTTTTAGTTAGGTCTGTATCTGGTTTTGGAACCTGGGTGATACCAGCTTCCATAAGTGAGTCTGGGAGCACTCCATCCTTTTCAATTTCTTTGAAGAGCTTGAGGAGTGCAGGTGATATAACATCCTTAAAGGTTCTGTAGAATTCAGCAGTGAATCCATCAGGTCCTGGAAATTTTAGTTGGTAGATTTTTTTATTACCATGTTGATTTCATTGCTTATTATTGGGTTGTTCAGCATATTTGTGTCTTCTTGCTTTAGCTTCAGTAATTTGTATGAGTCTAAGAATGTGTTCACATCTTCAAAATTTGCCAATTTGCTGCAATATAATTTTTAAAAGTAGTTACTATCACCTCAATTTTGACAATTTTGGCTGTTATGATTTCACATTTTTTATTTGTAATTTTATTTATATCTTTTCTCTCTTTCTCTTGGTAAGTAAGTGAAGGATAATCAATTTTGTTTGTTCTTTCAAAGAATCAGCTTTTTGATTTGTTGGTTTTTAAAATATTTTTTGTTTCAATTTCATTGATTTCTGCTCTATTCTTTATAATTTCCCTCCTTAACTTTGATTTGGGCCTGGATTGTTAATATTTCTCAAGTATCTTAAGATTTTGCATAAGGATATTTATTAGAGCTTGCTCTGTTTTCCTAATGTGAGCACTGATTGCACTGATTCATTAGGACTGCATTTGTAGTCTCCTAGAGGTTTTGTTGAGTTGTACCAGCACTGTCATTAACTTCCAGAATTTTTAAAATGTCTTTTTTTATTTCTCCTGTGATCCATGGTTTAGGACTGTGTCGTTAATTTCCCAGGTGCTTCCACCTTTTCTGTGATTTCTTCTGTCATTGCTTTGTATTTTATTTGCACAATGCTCTGATAGTATGCATGTGGTAATTTCATTTCTTTTATATTTACTTAAGCAGGCTTTGTGGACTAGTATGTGATCTGTTTTGGGAAAAGTACCATGTGCTGCAGAAAAGAATGTATACTCTGTAGTAGTGTGGTGGAATACTCTATAGATATCTATTAACTCCATATGTTCAAGGGGGTGGTTCAGTTCTGATATTTCTTTATCAATTTTTTGTTTAGTTGAGCTGTCTCTTTATGAAGGTAGGGTGTTAAGATCTCTCACTATGATTGTGTTGGCATTTATTTGATCTTTTATGTTTGGCATTATTTGTTTTATGAAGATACAGGTTCCAGTATTTGTTGCATAAATATGTATTAGCATTATCTCTTCTTTTGTATTGTTCCCTTAAGTAAAATGTAGCAACCTTCTTTGTCTCTTCTACTCAGTTTTAGCTTGAAGTTTACCCTAAGATTAAAACTGCTACCTCTGCTTGTTTTGGGGTCCTAGTAAATGAAATATTGTTTTCCATCCTTTAATTTTTGTTCTATGAACATCTTTTCTATTAGATGATTTTCTTGAATACAAAAGACTGTTAGATTCTGTTTTTGATTTAGTCCACCAATCTGTGTCTTTTAATTGAGGAAACAAAGCCATAAATGTTGAGAAATATTACTGAGATACAGCACTGCTTTCATTGCTCAGTATAAGACTTTCTAGAATCTTCACAGACTGAAGGAAGGTTATAAAAGGAGGAAGGAGAATCAAGAACAGAAGCATGTTCCTAGCTTTCTGGAATTAAAGGAATGGTTGGGGGAAGCACCAGAGACAGTGTGGGGGAAGGAAGAGGTATGGACCTGGGGGAGTGGGCAGTAAGACTATCTTGTTAGGACTTGGGTCTGATTTTAAAGTTCTGAATTTTGAAATTATGGAGTGGAGATATCTCCTATTCATATCTTTTGAAAATCCAAACTAATTAAACCTGCTGATTTATATTTAATTTTACAAAGCCAGCAGCCAACTGAGTTTGGTGAGAAAATGTACTAGAAAATGTATTAAAGAAATCTGTTTAACTTCACATCTGATGTTTCTCTTCATCCTATGAAGAAATATAATATTAATACATGACTCAGTTTTCCAGGGAATAATATTTATTCATTTCCAAAGTCATGCCTAAATTTTTTGGAAAACTTTTCCCTTTTTCAATTTGTGTAATTCTCTACAGTGCTCTGATTTGAATTTCTATCAGAAATTTACAAAGACAGTCTGGGAACTTTTTGTAGCCTATTATACTAATAGGTATGTAGCAGGAATGATCACAAAGAAAAAGAATGATGAGTTGATCAGCACTATGCTTTGTCATTCTAACTAGGGCATTTAAAAAAAAACTCATTACATTTATCATTTTTGTCACAAAAAAGAAAGTGGCCTTCTCAAATAGGAGGGATATCTTATCCCAAATAAGAAATTATAATTAATGTTCATTTCTCTTGGCAGAATGTCATTTTAACAATAGTAAAAGACAACATAATTGGTCACTAATATTTCTCAAATGTACTGGGTTAAATAATTTCTTAAATATTAATTTTCACTCAGAGCCTCAAAATGTGATCATATTTTGAAATACTCTCTCTGGAGGGTGAGATCACAGTGAATTACAAAGGGTCCTAATACAATGACTGATTTCCTTAGAAAAAGGAGAAATTTGATGAGTGATACCATAGGAAAATGCTCCAGGAAGACAAGAAGAGATTAAGTGAGTTGCAAGAGATTCCCCACAAGCAAATGAACACCAAAGATTTTGGGCAACTACCACAAACTAAAAGGAGACAAGAAAAGATCTTCCTGATGTGCCTTTAGAAAGAGCCTGGCCCCATCAACACCTTGATTTTTGAGATCTGACTTCCAGAATTGTGTGAGTATATAGTTCTGCTGTTTTAAACAACTGTTTTGCAGTTATTTTTTATGTGTCCCTAGGAAACTGATACATTGTCCATGGTACCATTCCATGGGTTAGGTAGGAGTGACAGATTTCATCCAAGGTGCACAACTAGAGTTCTCTGCAGAGCAAAATACAGGACTCTGGCTGTCACATTCTCATCCACATCAACTGAAATCTATGCATGGAAATTTATGGATTTCTTTGTTTCTTTACTTTTTTTTCCCCTTTTGCAAAATATAGTTGACAGATTAGAGAACTGAATTGAGTAAATGATAAAAATAGTTTAATAGGGGAAAAAACCTGAAATGAAGCTGAAATTAATGAAAATATTTGTAATCATCAGCTTTACTGTTGCTGGGACAAAGTATCTACCTCAAAGGAGGAGAGGCTCATTTTGGCTCATATTTTCAGAGGTTTTAGTCCATAGCTGGCTTGAAGGCAGAAACATGGACATGAAAGCTGTGATTTGGAGTCCAATTTCTGTTTCCTCAGAAGTTCAATATACAAAGATGAGCCACCAGTGCTATAATTTTTGAAAGACAAGAGTTAAACTTGACATGGCATAAAAGAATAATTCATAGAGAAATTTCCACAAAATTTAAAGTGAAGTGCTGTTACAATTAGAATTGGGAAAAATATTGGGCTGGGGATTTAGCTCAGTGATTCCAGCATCTGCCTCACAAGCACAAGGTCCCAAGTTCAATCTCCGGTACCAAAAAAAAAAAAGAATTTGGGAAAAAATAACATGACACCTAACAACCTTTTTTATAACTAATAGGAAAAGGCAATGACAGATCAAAAATAATCACCAAACTATTGATAATGCCTTAATCACCGAGTTAATGCTAAATAGTGAAGCTCCATGGTTCTTTCCTTTATACATTGCTGGGACCAATTCTGATACTCAGATGCTGATTTTTAAAACAGGACTAACTTTTTATCTGATAAAGGTGATTATCTGATGGATATAGACAATGTTTTATCTTACCTTCCCACCGTTTCCTTAGTCTAAGCTCAATGATGCCAAAGCTGAAGAAGCTTTGTACTTATAAGAAATGTACATACTGTTTTCTTCAACCAGAAGTAATAAAAATAACTTTTCTTATTGAAATATGGACAGGTGTTGAGAGTATTAAGCACAATTTAAACAAACAAGTAAAATTATCCTCTGTCCTGGAAATATAGCAAGAGATTCTGTCTTATGTATCCATTTCATGTCTACTTTCCTGGCTATATTATGAGTCTCTTTAGGGCAGGGACAGACATAAAAATATTCAATCATTATTACTTACATTATTACTCAACAGTATCTGGCATTGAGTAGAAAGTCAATAAACTGAGTGGATAAATAAATGAACAAAGTAAGGGGCAGCTGAACCCAAATCACCAAATTGTGGAACACTAGATGCTGAGATAATAAATTGCTTATGACTGACAAATGGAAATTGTCATGGAATTACATGAAAATACTATCTTATTCTTAGTTTCTTTTTGCTACAAAGCCATACATTGAGATTTATAATGAGATTTATAATTACACAATTATCTATATAGAGTTATGTTTTCCACCAGCCTGCTCTGATCACAGAGTATTTATTAACCTTCTGCCAATAGTCTATAAAGAAACACATATGTAATCCTACCTTTGGCAGGTAATGATATAGTTGGGGAAAGATATGTTTACATTCTTAATTACAACTAAGCAATAAAACATGTGTGTATTGATATGAGATTAAGTTGGGATATTTTATTTCATATCCATTCCAGACTCAGTTTATGTCACACCAGAGCCAGTCAGCATTGCCCATCTACTCTCTCCACAAGCCTTCGCCACTTCCTTTATTTCCCATCTAGAAGGCTGACATTGCCTGCTGGTCCTGTGGCTGCCACTTCCCAACATCCACACAAGCCAGTGTCTATCAGCACTATTGACCTCACCAGCCAGATGAGCCCAGCGAAGCTGTCACTTCTCCAGGACTGCTTGATAACGTGCCTGGAGTCATGGTGGCTTTCATGGGCCCTGAGAGGACCTCACTCAATGAAAGTCAAGGAAATACCTCATAAATTGTCTTCCTTTCTCCATGAACTCTAGGAACTGTCCTTTTGGATAAATTATTTGGGACCCAGTAACATATTACTTTTCTTGCAAAGAAGGCTGTGAACAGCTCAGAAGTACACTCCCTGGAGGTTTAGCTATTCTTCTTTGCCTTACTTTTCTTTTTCCCTTCAAATTTACTTCCCAATGAACTTTTGAATCAAATTTTATTTTCCAGGAAACCTGAACAAAAGCAGTGCTTGAAAGATTTTACTTGGATAACATGGTTACCATTTTTGCTACTTAAAAGAGTTCATAGATGATTTATTTTTGAGGTAGTGGCAATAACTTTTGACCCTAGAAGTTCCTCATAATATTGAACAATAAAAAACAACTGAGTGACAGAGCATCCCAGTTTGTCCAGGACCAAGGGAATTCCCAGGCCTGGGACTTTCATTCTAAAGCTAATGTCCTGGGAAAAACAGAGGAGTTGATCACTCTGGAAAATAATTTTGAGATATTTACAAAAACAGCTCTACCTCCAACAGACACCACATAGGAATGATTGGTGGAATATCACAAATATAAAACCAAATTGTATATAGGAAGATATGGAAGAAAGAGAAATCTCCAGATGGCAAAAATTAAAGAAACTATCTAAAATAGAGAGACAAAGAATGGAAAACTGAAAAGATATTAAGATATATAAGATAAGAGTTCCAAGATCTATCTATCTATCTATCTATCTATCTATCTATCTATCTATCTATCTATCTATCTATCTGTATGGAAATATATATATATGGAAAATGAAGCAAAGTTTGAAGAGATAATAGATGACAGTATTTCAAAATTGAAGAAATAACAAAAGTTTTCATTGATACACTATTTTAACACATAACTAGTTTAAAAAGGAAAAGAGCCACAGCTATGTATGGCATATTGAAAGTGAAACATCAAAGTTAAAGAGAAAAAATTTTAAAGTATTTTTAGTAAGAAATTAAATGTAGAAGGGAAAACATGACATAAAAGCAATTTAAAGGAAAGAAAAATGTCAAATTTATCTGGGCATTTCCTTGCAAATGAAGTCATTCCTTGAATAATTCTTAGGGCATACAGATGATGAAAAATAGGCAAAATAGCTTGTTAAATAAAACAACCCCAATTTATGAAACTCATAATGGTGATTAAAGTTATGCCAGCAACTTCAAATGCATGCTAAGGAAAAATGGGAATTGGTGTTAGAGAGGAAATGACCTTAAGTTTTTACTGTACTCTCTCTTGCCTGGTAGTATGGTGCTAGTATAACCTAATGTGCAAAGCTTGGTACCCAGTGATTCCAATAGATAGCATGCTTCAGAACACTGATAATCATAGTTGGAACATAAAATCTGGGAAAACACATAGAAAGATGGTAGATTTCAGGGAAGCTGGTTCACTCACTTGCAACATCAGATTATGCACCAGTTTCACTGATGTATAGACATCTCTCAATTATCTCTTGTTTTATTGATATCAGTCATTCTAACAGTATGTGGTGATATATCATTGTGACTTTGATTTGCATTTCCCTGATTATTAGTGATGTTGAGCATTTCTTCATACTTGTTAGCCATTTGTACATATTCTTTGGAGAACTATTTAGTTTTTTGTCCGTTTTAAAGTTGGGTTATTACTATTATTATTATTTAATATTTAGTTGTAGGGATTCCTTACATGTTCTAGATGTTAAATTCTTAGTTTGAAAATATCGTCTCTCATTACCAAAGTTGTCTTTTTACTTTATTGACTCTGTTTTTTCCTTTGCTGTGCAGAAGCTTTTTTATTATTCATTAAGTTTATTGGTATATTATAGGTATACAATATGATGACATTCATCATTGGGAATTTGCACCTTTACATGATATGTCTTGGTTCTTATTTTCCCCCTTATGCTGCCCTCCATTCAACTACTCCACCTCTCCCTATTTACAAAGACTTTGTTTCCATTTTTCCATTTTCTCATATTTTTTCTTTTCTCTTCTTTCCTTTCCCCTACCTCTCCCACTTCCCCTTCTCCTTTAGACCTTTTCTTCCTATTTCACATTATCAGTTATACATTTTGATCCTTATTTACACTTTTATTTTCTCACACCAGAGAAACTATTCAGTATTTACGCATGTGTATCCAGTTTATTTCACTCAGGAGTATGACCTCAATGTGCAACCATTTAGTTATAAATGTCTCAAGGTTCTCATTCTTTGTGGTTGAGTAATACTCCATTTTATAAAAATAAAACATATCTTGTCTATCCAATCAACAGTTCATGGACAATTGGGCTGTTTCCAAGCTTTAGCTATTACACATTGTGCTGCTATAAACACAGGTACAAATATATCACTGTGGTATGATTCTTTTAATTCTTTGGGGAAGATACCCAGTAGAGGAATAGCTGAGTCAAATGGGACCTCTAATCCTAGGTTATGAGATATCTCCATATTGATTTCCACAGTGGTTGCACCAGTCTGTACTCCCACCAACAATGGAAAAGGTTTCCTTTTTCCCCACACCTCTGCCTGCCTTTGCTATTGGTTGATTTCATGATAGCAGCCACTCTTGCTGGAGTGAGGTGAAATCTCAGCATTGTTTTAATTTACATCTCTCAAATGACCAGTGATGTTGAACATTTTTTTGTATGTTTATTTATTTCTAATTCTTTGTCTGAGAAATGTCTGTTCATTTCAGATGCCCATATTTGGATTGGGTCTTTAAAATTGGGAGGTCTGATTTTTTTAAGTTCTTTATAGATTGTAGATATAAGACCTTTGTGTGAGCAATAGCAGGTGAAAATTTTTTCCCACATTGTGGGTTGTCTCTTCACATTGTTGGTGGTTTCTCTTACTGTGCAGATCCTTTTTAATAAGAGATCCCTCTTGTTGATTGTTTGTGCTAGTTCATGGGCAACTGAAGTTTTGTTTATAAAATCTTTTCCTACACCAATGTCTTCAAGAGTTGTACCTAACCTCTGTTCCAGCTGGTTTAGCATTTCTGTTTTAATATTTAGATCTTTAATCGATTTCAATTTTAGTTTAGTGCATGGTGAGAGATACAGATCTAGTTTTAATGTTTGGCAAGTTGAAACCCAATTTTTCCAGCACCATTTATAGAAGAGGCTATCTTTCCTCCAGTGAGGGTGTTTGGCTCCATTGTCAAAGATGAGGTGGCTGAGTGTATGACCTTTTCTTTTTGTTGGATTCTCCCCCTTTGCATTTAATTTCTTTTCTTGCCTGATGGATTCATTCTGCTGGGCTTTGTGGGGTTGTGATATTCACTGTCTTTTCCTAGGATATTGCTTAAAAGTTTTTGGAGTGCTGATTTGGTATTCATGAATTTCCTCAGGTGTTCTTTGTCCTAAAAATGTCTTATTTCTCCATTGATTTTTTTTTTTTTTCTTTTGGTACCGGGGATCGAACTCAGGTGCTTGCACTTGCAAGGCAGGTGGCAGAACCACTGAGCTAAATCCCCGGCCCTCTCCATTGATTTTTAAAGATAGTTTTGCAGGTCATATCAATCTGGGTTGTAGTTTTTTTTTTTTTTTTTAGGGCTTGAAAAACTTTACTCCAGGCTCTTCTTAACTTGAGGGTCTGTGTTGAGAAGTCTGCTGTGATTCTGATGGGCTTTCGTTTGTATCTTTATATGTGATTTGTTCTTTTCTCTAACTTTTTGTAGTATTTTTTTCTTCTACTGGGTTTCTGGAATCTTGACTATTATATGTCTAGGTGTAGACTTTTTTTGATCTCAGCTAGTTAGGGTCCTATATGCCTCACTTATCTGTATGTCAAATTCTTTTCCCCGCTTGGGATTTTTCTGCCATAACTCCTGTGAACCATTTTTTATGCCATTTTTTAGTCTCTCCTGTTTCTTCATTGACTCTGATTAAGTCTTATGTTTTTCTCCTTTGCCTCATCTAGCAGATGTATTGATTTCTCATGGTCCCTTTCTATTTTAAAGAAATCTTATTTTTTCTGGGTCACTAATCACAATCCTTTCTTCTATATTTTATATTCTGTCCTCACATTGGCTCACTCTGCTCCAGTTATCTCTTTGTATGTGTTTTATGGATTCCATTTGTTTCCAATTCTATGATTCCATCATGTTCCTCAGTTCCTCTATTTTTTTTAATCTGTGTCTGCTCTAGAGTTACTAATCATGTCTTTCACTATGGTTACCATCTCTGTTGTTATCTGAGAAATTATTTCTTATTTTATTTTTTCCATATCCTCTTTTGTTGCCAGTTCAGGGAGTCCAGGTGGTTGAGTTTCACATTGTTTCATCTTGCTATACCTTGGAGTTGCCTTTGGTGATTTGGAGTTCTGGTTTTGAGTCTTGTTTAGGTGTCTTCTCATTTCAACACATGCAGTCTGCTGCACCTTGATTAAGGTGACTCGCTCTCCCAGTGGGCTTCAATTCTCAATAAGTTTCAGAGAGGCCTTCTTGCTGCTGCTTACCACTGCACCAATTCCTACATTCCAAATGATTGCCTTCTGGATCCCCATGTTAGGCTCTTGTCTGGGAGGGCTTCTAGCTGGAGTGTATGTGCACTTATCAATGGTATCTGGGTTGGCCTCTGGCTGGGGCCTGCACACCTGCACCACTGATGATCAGGCAGGCTTCTGGCTGTGCACACTTTCTGTGGGTTTCTGTGTGGGCTCCTGGCTTTGGTCTGTGTGCACTTCTTGAAGAAGCATTTTTTTTAGTGTAACCCTTCTTGTCTAATTTTGCTCTTGTTACTTGTGCTTTTAGTATAAAATGTTTTTAAAAATTAATATATGCAATCAAGACATCCAAAGATACAGGAGGCTGAGAAATTATTGAAGACAGAATCAGAAGCATTGAGTGTTTCAGAGAAATAGATACAGTGTCCAACAGGAGAGGCCCCAAGTGTCCGGTGTCACAGTTACATACTAGGAGAGTGGCCTTTTCATCCTCTAGTGGCAGTGACAACTATGTGCTCATGAGTCATGACTAAGTGGGCTTCTTGCTCTGCAGTCAAACTTCATTTGTTCTTATTCATTTTCTTTTCTTCATTACCCAGCTTGCAAAATGATTATGAAAAAATATTCATTTCTCATTAGATAAGTCAGAGCCATTTTCCTTACATGCAACTCTGATATACCTTGACTTTCATGATACAAAGTCATATTATAGGGATTTAAAAATCATTAAAAGAAGACACACAAAATCAGCACATCCATTGTAAAGTGGATAATTTAAACAAGATGGGAGCAGGAAGCAAATGAAAAGTCAAACTAGCCAACAGACTGTTAGAGACACAATCTTAAGAAATTTAGAGAACTCCAATATTGCCTCGTAGTGCAGTGAGAAAGGCATCCTGGGGGAGATAAAACATACATCTTCTAGGAAGTGCTGGAAGGAAATGGATGAAGAAAATCATAGAGTTTTCCAACTGGAAGCACTGCAATAAGCAAAACCCTGAAAATGAGATTTCAGATGCCATATTTCAGGACAGTAACAACCAGAATATGCTAGAGTATTTGAATAAAAGAAATGTTGACTATGGTCACAGTAAAGAGCTTGTTTGAGGCTGTAAATATGGAGTGGTTGAAGGTTCTCAAGGTAGCGAGTGGTGTGATACTTGAGGCAGTTGATAGTAGGATCACAGAGAAATTCTCAGTAGAAATTTAAATAAATTGAGTAAAGTGGTTAGTGAAGAAGGGTACAGAGATGGTTTGAAATCTGGAAGAAGACTCACATAGATACCTGGATTTGGGGACATTTAGAGTTCACTTTCCTTTCTGTTTACTTGGAAGGGAGGTCAAAGCTGGATATCCAGCTTAGGAAGTCAGCACAGAGTGTAGAGTGGCCTGGGAGAGATGGATTCATGGCCAAGGATAAGAGCTAGAGAGAGATCATCAGAGAGCTGCAGTCTGAATCTGGTGTCAGACAGAATTCAGTAAGTGGCCAAATATTGGTTTTATATCCATATCCTTAAAGCTAATTAAGCAAATAATTATAATATGAAGAATCATCTATAAATCACTTTCCCTCAAATCATATACATTTATATAGAAGTATGCTTATCCTCTGTTTGGGGTTTCTTTAATTAGAAGGCATTTTGGAACAGCCAATGAGGGGTAAATAATGACTTAGACCAAAAGTTAGCAGAAATACAAATTCACAATTACTGTCAAAAAGTGAGAAAGGGAGAAGAAAGAAGAGCATTTATTTCAGAATTCATCAATTAGGTAAAATGCAGGGAGGGCAGCCACACAGCACTATAGTAAACACCACTGTTCATTGTGATTTTTGTCTTTTTGCAAGACACAGGTCTTGCCTCAGGAGTTACCACTCTGAGCAATCTGAAGCTCTTCTCTGAGGTTCCTTAGGGACACAAGAGGGCATGAGATTCTGCAGGAGTAACAGGGTGTATCCAACTTCCACTTTTATACACTATTAGAAATGTAAATGTAGTTTTCTAGTTAGAAGGACACAGTGTGAATAGAATTAGCCTTGTCCAAGGCAGTGAAGCTTTCTGAATATTATCAGAAATGGTTCTTTAAATTTGGCAATTGGTGCAAACACTAGTGCACCCAACTATATTAAAAAAAATACTAACAGACATGAAAAGTCATATATGCACTAATACAATTGTAGTGGGGGACCTCAA